GACGCGAATGTTTATTCATACCCACTCTGTGCCACATGGACACAGACGAGTCCGCTGGCAGTCCTCGCCCTGGTCAAGATGCCTGCGTGTAGCTTCCTAAAGCAAACGTGTTCATGACTTTGTTTGTTTTCTCATAGGCCCAAGCACAACAGCAGGCTGTTTATATTTGATTTCGATTTCCTCAAATTTGGAATAAATATATATTTTTTAAATTTTTATCATTAAATATTGCCATTTACTTCTACGTATTTACCTTTGTATTTTATTTACTGTTTAAACGAAGTGCAATACGAATATCATCAAGCACCTGAGAAACCAGAATTACATACTTTGTGAGACCGTTCCCCGGAAACAATCTCCACGCAGCTGTACTAGGCTCATGCGCTCTCTGGTGCTTGGAGGAGCAGCTTCGGCAACCCGCTCTGCATCGGTGTCTGTCTCTAGGCTCACAGGGATCCACCACAGAGAGATGATTTCATCAAGTGATGACGTCAGCGCTGGAGCAGTTCCACAAAGGATTACAAAATATTTGGGACTACTAGCCATGGACACTAAACAAGTTTTTTTAAAAGATTTTATTCATTTATCCTTAGAGGAGAAGGAGAGAGGGAGAGAAACATCAATGTATGGTTGCCTCCCATACATCCCCTGCTGGGAACTGGCCTGCAGGGAACCGGCCTGCAACCCAGGCATGTGCCCTGACTGGGAATCAAACCATGATTCTCTGGTTCATAGGCCTGCGCTCAATCCACTGAGCTACACCAGCCAGGGCTAAACAAGTTTTTTTAAATTGATTCTTTGGGGTGGGTAAAGAGGGGTAGAGATAGATAGATAGATAGATAGATAGATAGATAGATAGATAGATAGATAGATAGATAGATATTCATTGTTCCATTTATTGATGCATTCATTGCTTGCCTCTGGTATATGCCCTCATGGGAGATTGAACCTGCAACCTTGGTGTTTTGGGACGATGCTCCAATTGACTGAGCTACTCATCCAGGGCCAAACTAAACAAGTTTTTAAAGTAATAAATTGTGTCCTTCTTCAAGTAAAGATGTACTGTAGAGTTCTAATTATATTAGCAGTGGTCCTTAGGTTAATAAAATCTTTTTTAAACTTTATTTTTGTAGCTGACACTATTGCAGATGTCCCCCTTTTCCTCCCTTTGCCCACCTCCACTCAGACAGGTTAATAAAATCTTGTTGCAATGGTAGAGGGAGACCCTCCCTATTTTCCATGGTAGCAAGTTCTTCAGTAAAGCCTCTGAGGATTTGTTTTTCCTCGTACAGGCTGAGTAATGTTTGTCATGTGTTTATAAAATTGCAGAATAGATTCTAGTCCACTGATGGCAATGTGAAAAAGGTGAAGTCAATGCCAATTTATGTAGGGCACACATGATTTCTCATCAACTATCAAGAAGTTAAGTTGACTAAATGATTTAATTTTGCAGATAATTATAAAGCAAGGATATTGCTTAATGTATTTGGACTTGATGAAATTGGAGGGTCCTAAAAACTAGCGTTAGGATACTTCCTTCTGGATCAGGGAACCATTTCCATCAAAGGAGAGTAGTTATTTCCGTAAGACATAGAAACAATTGCTTTTATTATACACACACAGATTCTTGAGGTAAGTAGAGAATCCTTGAGATTCCTTCATTTTTCCCCTTTCTTGATTACTTTCTACACACTCATAAATCATGTTAATATTTCCTTTCATATGCCATAGAATTGCCAAGCCTATAAAATAAATTGTTACTCTAATTATTTGATATTTTCTCCATGTTTAAGCTTTTTCTGGCATTCTGTTTAAAAGTTAAAAAGAAAATCTATTCTATCAATACCCTGTATTATGAAACTTAAGACCCAGCAATAACCATTAATTACATGCTATTTATTAGGAAAGAAATTCAATACTAAGATGTACCAATCCCGACAGGAAAACATGTAAAGAACAGGAATGAAAAAAGAAATGACAGGTTTCTTAGCTACTGTTTTCAGATTTTTTTTATTACAGCAAATTATTTCCAAAATAATATATTTCACTAGATTTAAAATTACTTCTGCTAATATAACTTCATTCTCTGTACTTATAATGCAGATACTAGCTAGGATTGTTTTCAGTGGTAATACAAAGTCAAGTGTTTTGATGAAAAATGAAAGTTTATTTATTTGTTGAGAAATAACTCACATGGGAATCATTGCTTTGAGGCAAGTTCAGAGTGCCTTCACAGTGCCCTGGTAAGGACCAGCACAGCCTTCAGTTCAAAAAATTCCACCACTGTAAAATAAAAACATACAACGGAATCACAAGCAGTTGAAATTTATTTTTTTCCCATTGTGGCAGTAAATAAAGGACGAGGAAATACCTTTAGTTTGCAATAATAACATTTCACATTAGGAAGACAGCATGTAAATAAGAAGCACTTTCTAGGAAGCAGATTAAAAATGCGACTTTAAAACAGTATTCTAGTGGGTATAAATAATCCAGAAATACCTAATTTAGAAAGCATTTGACTGGAGGTTGAAGGGTCAATACACACACGCACAAAACTAGGACAAATCTTGTCCTCCAGTTCTGACTTGCAAATCCCTGTAAAAGCAATGGAAAGTTTATGGCAATATCTGAAAGGCACATTCGGCCCAGTTTAAAAGCTCCATTAAAGTAGTATTTTAACACATTGTCCTAGTTAAGTTCTGTCTTTATGGTCCTTTTCACATCACTTCACCAAGGGTTCAATTGTAGCTTACTCAGAAATCACAGAAATGAGGTTAGGCTAGTAGGAATAGTTGGCCTTTCGCTTAATTTCAAGGATACTTTGGCAACCTAACCCTAACCCTACCCCAATTCTGAGAAAAAGACTTATGTCAGAAGTTCATGGATCTAAGGTAAGTTTTGTGTTTTTGAATTCTCATAAAGAGGGAAGTATGAACAGAGATGTAAGATGTATAATATTGATACTTATCTTGGGGAAATTTTCTCCCTCACACTAAACTGTATAGATAGCCAATAGTATCTGATGCCGTAAGCACTGTTATACCTTTGTGTAATACTGATAAATGTCATTGTAGCTGTTTTCTTGTGGTACGAGGAGGAAGTCAGGTAACCTCTCACTTCCTGTGCTCTGTATTTACAAAGCCTCTATTTTGATCTGGCACTGCCAAAGATACACAGCAGTGTACCTGTCAATGTTCCTAGATTTGCTTTCTGAAAATGCAGAGGCAGAGCATCACTTCAGAGCATTTTGCAGTTAGTTATCAAAGAAACTTGGTTTCCTCAGACCGGTGGACTTTGCTAAGCATCCACCATTACGCTTCAGACCTATCTTCGCAGGGAGCACCGATGGGGCTCCAGGGAGACATCTACTAAGAGAAGAGGGAGCCAGGTGAGACATTCTCTGTTCAAAACCAAGCCTTGTCCTGAAAAAAAATTTGGACCATGGAAACTGGAGCCAGATGGATCGAGTTCATATCCTTGCTCTTTCACTTACCAGTTCTGTGACCTCAGATACTTGGTTTAATCTCCTTGGGCCTCAGTTACTTCATCCCTGCAAATGGACACAACAAGAGGATTTTGTGATAATTTAGAAGTTCTGTGATCTTGAGCATTGTGTTTCTCAGCTTAGCTCTCATTATTTTATATTAAATACTATCACTTAGATTTCTCTTAGCCCAGTTCCCCCACCTCCCACTGAAAGGGGGTCCAATTGGGAGAAAGGATGTATGGAAGTAGGAGATGCTGTTTGATAAAAACAAAGAGCCACTTCAGTAAAAACTCTATGAGCCTCCCTGCCTATGCTTTATCTTAATAACTAATATTATTTCATAAAAAGGAGAGAGAGGCCTTCTCCCCATTATGCAACACAACCAGTGGTGCTGAGCCATTCACAGCAGAAGAGAAGGTGGCCTGGGGTACTGGGCAATGGGGGCGGGGTGCTGGGGCTGAAGAAAAGAAATAAAACCAGATGCTGCACTGTAACCGCTGTATCTGGGTCCTGAGCCCTGGTGAGACACTCCAGAGAGGTTATCTGAAACATGGTCAAGAATTAGGGGAAGGTCTTAATAAGTTACCAAAAATGCATCAAATCACCAAACATTTCTGTTTGTCTCTTATGCACCAGACATTGTTGGCGATCGTAGACACAAAGATGAAAATGTTCCTGACTTCAGGTCCCGGTTTGGTTCATCCATAGGCCCAGATATTTTTTAGGTAACATGTAGAATTCAGAGGAAGAACAGGCTCATAGACTGTGACTGTATAGGGGACCCATGGGTGGGGCATCAAAAAAAGATGAATGTAGGCATAGCCTGGCAGGGATAAATTTCAGGTAGACGGTGCCATCCAGTACAAGAAAATGAACTTTTTATTTTACATGTACATGTTCATCGCTTAACTATGATTCTCTGAAAACACTGATGGCATAAACAAAATGAAGTCATGCTTTAAAATGGAACCTATCACTGTGTATTGCTTAAGCATTGAACTACTGACATCACCATTTCAGATATGTCTTAATATTAACACTGACAAGAAACGCATCTCTTTCGCAAGAAGCAGGGCTGCATTCCTTGGCGTGTGGACGCAGAAGGAAGCGGGACGTGAACGAATTCCCTACGAAAACCGAGCTGCGGTGCGCTCAGTCCCGACGCTGCACACGTGTTTGCCGGCCCCAGAACCACCCCCGAGCCCCGCCCCTGCCCGATCTGCGGGGTCCTCCAACACTCGCGAGAGCCCTCTCGGCTTCCACGTTTGCCACGTTCCAACGGACCGGGAATGCTTGGAAAGTTGCAAGCGTCTCGCGCTTACTGGCTGCTACGTCGTGCCAGAACAGCCCCAAGTCTGCAGGGGGAGGGGAAGTGCAGCAGGATTCCACCCCATCATAGAATTCCCTTGTGATAGGTTCTAACCCCCATCACTCAGTCTTGCTGGGCGGGGAGGAGGCGGGACTAGGCTGGAAAGGGGCGTGGCCTAAAGGGCCGCTGAGTCTTGCTCCGGCCTCTGGAGGGAGTCAAAGGGTTCGGCGCAATAGAGGGTCGGGTACGCGCAGCCGGCACGCGATCGAAAGTCTCCCAGCGCGCAGCGGGAGGTGCTGAGGTGCAGGGGCTGCTATAGGAGCCGCTGCTCGCACACGCCACAGCGCCCGCCGCCGTCAGCGGCTCCCGCAACCCCTGGTTCTCCACGCACTGAGGGGGTCCTACGCCCCTCGCCTGCTCCAGAGGTGCGCGCGATGGCTCCACGTAAGAATGCTAAGGGCGGTGGCGGCGGCAACAGCAGCAGCAACAACAGCAGCAGCAGCAGCAGCAGCAATAGTGGCTCGAGCAGTAGCAGCGGTGGCAGCAGCAGCCCTGGGGCCCGGAGAGGTGAGAGACCCTGCGGCGGGGAGGATACGGGACTGGCCCCAGGGGTGCGGTCCGGACTGCGGGCGTTCCTGTCCTCTCTCTCCAGGTTCCTCCGTGCATCTCTTCCATCCTCTGCCTTCCTCCTCCTGTTGGCGTGGGCAGAGTCCGCGCTTGGTGGGCCTGGCGGGCAGACTGGAGGGGCCCGGTGATCAGGGTCCTCGGCCTCGGGTTGGTGGTGCGGGGGAGCCCCTATTTGATTGATCCCTGCAGGGCACAGCCGAGGTGGAGGTTATTGATCGAGACTTTCTTGGTTTTCCATGGGGCTGAAGATGGGAGTGAGAGAAACAATTTACCTTTGCCTTGCATATATTAGGGAGTTTGGAAATGAGCCAAAGTCAGAGAAAATAAATTCCTGCCAAATCAACCTCTTTTAAGAGCAACTCAAAGGATAATCTGTGGGGGGTGTGGAGTGTATGTGGGGGGAGTGGTTTGATTATTCTTGGCAATTTTAAATATTTTTGCCTTAATGTAGCTTTCTTAACATGCCTTGTAGTTGCTTTTAAACTATTACGGAATTCCATAGAATACCGGGCGAGCTTCTCTACTTTTTCCCCATTGTGTGTGTGTGTGTTTAAGTCTTACCTTTCTACACTATGTGTTTACCCACCAGAGAGAGAGCAGATGTTTTAAATCTGTTTCATCTCATATTTCAGTGGTTCTCGGTTTCAATTATACTTCCTTTAACTCCTCGGATATTGAAACTGCAATACACATGTGTATTGGCTGTGAGCTGCAGACTTTTAAAAATGATCATTTGAAATAATTTAGAGTAGACTCTGTGTCCTGAGGTCTACATGTAATGTATTCATATTTATCAAGAAAATAAATCAGATAACCATATCCCTACTTCAAAGAACTCTTTGTTTATAGCAGTTATTACTATCTGAAGTCATCAATTTATTTTCATGTGTATTATCTTCCTATTTTACTCCCTCCTCTTGTTTATTTCTATTCACAGCTCCTAGAATATTCCTGGCCCTTAATAGGTGCTCAATAAATATTTGATCAGTGAATGAATGAATACATTTAAGTGGTGCAATTAAAGTTATTGCACACATTTACATTCTGAGAACTAGTATTTGTGTTGGCAGTGGAAAAAAGACAGCTTGACATTCAAATCACTGATAATAACTTAAGAAAAACTTTGTATACGTTTGTCACTTGTCCTCCAGTGCTGGTCAGTGACTTACAGGCCAAAGAGTAGATGAACTGTCTCCGGTAGCTCTGGCCACTCTTTTCCAAGGTAATAAATGAGAAGAGACATTGTGTGGCTCATGCACCAACAGAGAAGTCTGGTGAACAAAACTTGGGTGTCAGTTTGTTTTCAGTTTTTCTGTAGCTATTTACGAAGGAAGCACATCTTTATTTCATTTTTTAAAAAGCCGTTTTCAGTCATGAGTTGAGAGGACTGATTGCACCTGAGGAAGTCACTTTATATGGCCTGTTACTGGTGAGAATTACTATTGGGAAATCTGTATGTATTGTGTTTCCACCCCCACTGAACTGAACTGATAACTGAACCCGTTTTAATAGGCAGTTAATAAATTTAGGAAACGTTATGACCCAAATGAATGTATTCTGATTTTCATTTTCAGGCATTGTAGGGCAACCTCTACCCATATTTGAAGATCTACAGCCTTCTAAGCATTTTACATATTGATTCCATAATTGTCACAAAACAGACATAGTATGTGAAAGAGAATGTATTAAAAAGTACGACTATTACATAAAAACAATGCAAATAAAAAAGCCTGAAAGCGTTTAAAGAGTTGGTATTGGAGTCTTGCATGTTACATAATGAATAGTCTTTTTCTGCAGGCATTATTTTTTTCAGTAAATACTGAGTTCTGGTCATGTGCCAGATGGAAGGCACTGGAAATGGAAATGAGGATTCTTTCAGTCAGAAAGTTACACGGCAGTGCTGACAGTGTGATTTTATTTATATTGTTTTCTTGTAGCATGATAGACCCGAAAGATAAAGCCAACTTCTCTTTTGTTGCTCTGCTTTTTTGGGTCATTGAAGTATAGACATTTGATGCCCAAACCTTTCCCATCTGCTGGAGAAGTCATAGAAGCCAAAGACATTTTAGCAGTGGGCTTACTGTCCTCTCTCTAATCTTAGAGATGAGGGGATTAAAGTCCAGAGAAGTTGTCTAATTCATAAAAAATTGTGATGTTCTTAAAAACCCAACTAGTTAATGGGAGATCCAAGACTAAAACTCAGGTTTTCTGTCATTCATTTATTATACGACAATGCTTGCATTTTAGATTGTCTAATTTGCAAGATTTTTTGAGAGTCTTGGAGTTGAGGTAGATTATTTTTTAAGCTTCCTTCTGGGTCTCTCTTTGGCACAGTATAACTAGTTATTTAGGAAAAATGTGCTTTTGTCATTTGATCAATTAAATTTCCTGGGGCCCTAAAACTATGTTCGAAATAGTACATTTGAAAAGTGTAGTTGGAGAAGTGCAAGTGCTCAAATAGTGAGATGTTTTGCTTTTTTTTTTTTTTTAATGTTTTGCATTGAGACTCTGAAGCTGATGATGATATTGGTCACATTCAGCATTTTTATTGCTTCACTGTTGTATAAAAGTATGGGGTAAAAAGGACCCAGTCTTTTGAAGCATGTGTTTTAGGGAAAAGAGGGGCGTGTTGAAAAACAGTATCTGGAAACTGAAACTCTGGGGATTTTTGTAACACTTTGATTTGTAAAGCAAGTGTATGCTTTTCATTTTGCTTAACTTAAATTGAAAAGTACTAAAATGTCTAGTTTCCCATAAAGCTCAATTTTACCCGTTTCAGTTTTACTCCTTAAAATATTGTGAGTGAATTGGATCTTTAACTTGCATATAAAAAATTGACTTGTATAGCCAGTTGGGGCCTGAGGAAACCTCTTTCAGATTTATTGATTTGAAATCTTTGGTTATCAAGGATCACAATGTCCTTTGTGCTTATTTTGTAGTATACAGACATTGGTGTGTAATGTTTCTGTTTATTTAGCTTTTCCCTTCTGATTGTCATTCAGTCTTTACCTGTCACGTCTAATATGCTACAGGGATGTAGCATTTGTTATATTTTATCTAATAGCATCATGCTGCTCCACCACCCTTTACCAGTAGGTGTCACTGTAGAATATTATTTCCTCCAATCTGAAGTTTGGGATTATATAACACCGATTATTTATTTTTTTTTTTGAAATTTAATCAGTCCTATTCATACTCAAAACTATCGATGGACAACTACTGAAAAACTTTTAGCCACTGCTCTCAAAGTCTTCAACAGCATACTTTGAAATTTAATAGTAACAGTTTGTCCCTAACAGCCTTGCTTATTTAGGCTCCTCTTTTGTAGAATTAAATGCATTCGTACACTATCGGCAAAATGTATGCATGTGCAGATTCATTTGTTGGATATTGATCATTTTGAAATGTTTTTGTTTTTTACTTTTAGTATCTCTTAGGCTACTAAGTAACTGACGAATATGATACACTGCTGATTGCTTTCTGGCTTCCTTTGAATGACCAGGCCTGGGTGAAATCCCATTTGCTTTGCCCACTCTCAGGGCCCATTGCCCAGTCCTCCGTGGGTCATTCCGGAATGAAAAGACAGGAAGGCCACAATTATTCCACTATAAGAACGTGCACTGCTTCGTGTTCAGTGTGTTCAGTGGAGCGGCACTCTGTCCCCCCAGCCAGGTCCCACGAAAGCAACTACTAACCAAGGTTCTGAGCAAATGTGCGAAAACGTTTAAAAAAGACGAATCATATTAACCTGCACTGGGTTTAGGAAATAGAAGGAAAGAGCTATATGTTAGCCTTGTTTTAAAATCCTGTATCTCTGAGAGATGACTAGAAAAGGAGAGGTTTTCATTTTTTTGTTGATTACCAGTAGAGCAACTTTGATAGAGGCTTATGTGGGCTCTCCTCCTAATTTTGAGTGAGGATGGCATTTAACCCCTCTCTGGTCCCAATAGAGTAAACTTTTAAAAAAATTTCTTTAGAAAGGCAGTGTAATTTGGGAGAGAGTGTTGACCTGGATTCATATCTAAGAACTGTGTGGCAAGTCATTAAAAACTCTCTAATGTCGGTCTCCTTAAATGGAAGAATTACTCTCTTTTTTCCTTTCAGAGTTAAGACAGCTCTAAAACCAATTTTATGTGCCTCTCTGTCTTTAGATGTTTTCCTTAAGGTATTTTTAATCTAAGAGTCCAAACATTTGAAGACTATAAGGATAATAGAACTGAGCAGGCCATTAATTGCATGCTTGTAATTTTTAGATAATTGTTTAAAAAGTCATGTTTTGTTATAGTATTCTGTAGCATCCGCGTTTTAAGTAAATGGATGTTCTGGAGGTCGTTTTTGATACTGTGGCTTTGAGTGCCTCTAGACACATTTCTGTTTCCTTCTTGGAGTGTGGAAGTATCCCATTTGCCTGTCGGCCTTCAAGTTGCTGATTTACCCTCTAATCCGTTGGAGGTTTGTAACATTATTTTATTTTACTAGAGCTCAGATACATTTCAGTCTTTCTGATGCTCTTCCAGAACACTGTTTTAATGTCATGAAACTATGCAACTTAGTCTGTGTCTTGGATACTTCTGCATCTTCTAAGTGGTTTGTCCTCATTCTGTACCACCGATTCAACCTTTTTCATCTCATGGCACGAAGAAGCTAATTACTAAAATTCTGTGGCACACCAAAAATGTATTTTTCTGCCAATCTGACCAAAAATAGGTATGATTTTGATTCATTCACACCAATGCCTATTGTTGTGTTGGCTGTTGTCATTTTTTTTTAACTTTAACAATCTAAGGGAAAAGAGGTCAGTGCCTCTGACTAAATAGTCAGGTATCGCATGTTTTAAAAGTTCTTTCAGCACACTGGTGTGCCACAGCACACAGGTTGGAAATCGCTGTTCTTTATCAAGGTACAAAACAAACAAACGAGCAAACCCATTTTTAAATTTA